TTTTTTTCCAGGTTCTGTGGTTCATGCTTTATGTATGAAAGACAAGGACTTGACTTATTCTAGTGTGGAGACAGATAAATACTGAGCATGTGAGTCATTATGCACAATATTTCCAGTTCAGTGCTTTGGGGAAGATTAAGTGGGTACTTTGATGAGGAAAGCCTGGGTGTGAGGTAGTGGTTAGACAGGGTGTTCAGGCTGGGCTATCCAAGGAGCTGCAGCCTGAAAGGGAAAAGTGGCCTGTTGGGCAAAAGTTGGGGGAAGCAGCATTTAGACAGAGGGACCAGTTAAGTACAAAGGCCCCAGAGCAGAAGCAAACTTGAAGTGAAATTCAGAGAGGTAAGGGCAACAACCACAGGGTTGTTTTTGTTTTGAGGGTTTTTTGTTGTTGTTGTTGTTGTTTTTGGAGACAGGGTGTCTCTGTAGCCCCTGCTGCCTTGTAATTCACTACCGAGACCAAGCTGGCCTCAAATCTCACAGACATCCTTCTGCCTCTGCCTCTGCCTCCCAAATACTGGGATTAAAGGCGTGCATGTACCATCCCACTGGGCTCTGAGGAGGTTTTTAAAGATTGCTCTGTGCTTTGGAAGGTAGATTTCCACTACTACTGAACATATGTGAGATACCACCTTGTGTTGAAAAAGCTTTGTCTAGGCTCAAGGAAGCCTGTGGTTGGTTCACTCATTGCTTTTGGCCCATGAGGAGAAAGCAGGTCATGACAACAACATGGGATGGAACAAAACCACTCACCTCATAAGCAGGGAGCAAAAGAGAGAGTAGGGTCCCACAGTTCCTGTCAAGAGTACAACCCCAATAATCTAAAGACCGTTCTCTAGGCCAACGCCTCCTAAAGTCTCTACCACATCTCAATAGTGCTACCCTTTGGCTAAATCCTTTAATATCTGATCTTTGTGAGATACTCCTTATCCAAGCTAAGCAGTAAATGTCATACAAAAGTACCAGAGCAACAAGTATTTGGTGAAAGTGTCAAGGGAGGGCCTGGAGAAATGACTCAGCAGTTAAGAACACTGAGTGCTCTTGAGAGGACCTGGGTTCAGCTCTCAGCACCCACATGGCAGCTAACAACCTTCCGTAACTCCAGTTCCAGGAAATCTGACACCATTTCTAACCTCTGCTGGCACTGTAGGACATGGGTGCACTTACACACATGCAGGCCATACACTCATAAAATAAAAATAATAACTAAAATATTTTGTTTCTTTTTTTTTTTGGTCTTTTTGAGACAGGGTCTCCCTGTAGCCCCAGCTGTCCTGGAACTTACTATGTAGACCAGGCTGGCCTTGAACTGACAGAGATCTGCCTGCCTCTGCCTCCCAAGTGCTGGGATTAAAGGCGTGCGCCACCTTGTCCCCCTCCCAACTGTTTTTTAAAGTCTCAGGGAACTGTCCAAATTGAAAGAGACAACTAAAGTAACATGTAACTCCGGGATGGGTCCCAGATGAGTTAAATGGCATTAGTGACACAACAGTAATTAAGTTTTGCAGACTGGATAACAAAATAACAACAGTGTTAATCTCCTGGTGTTAGTCAATGTACAGAGGTTGTGTAGCCAAATGTCCTTGGTTTTAAAAAATACAAACCAAGGGCACTGTGTGCTACATACTCTCAAACACTTTGAAGGACATAGTCATGATTCCTGAAAAATCTCATTTCTGTATATATACATATATGGAAGGATGGATGGATGCATGTGTATACTGTATTAGGAGCCTGTGAGATGGCTTAGTGGATAAAGGCACCTACCACCTTGACTCCCTGAGTTCAATCCTCAGGACCCACATGTTGTCCTCTGATCTACATACACATACACACACACACACACACACACACACACACACACACACATACACTAAGAGGGGATGCACTCAAATGACTTACACAATGTGGGCTGGGTGGTCCAACAATGACTGTCTCACACTAGAGAGGATAAGAACCTGGTAGCTGCTCAGTCCATGAGGTTGATGTCTTATCAGTACCAGTTGGTGCTGAAGGCTGAAGGATTGTCCTTGGTCCATGATGGAAGCTGAAGAAACTGTAGTCTGATGTCAGCTACAGCAGCAGTGGTTTAAAGGCACTCACCAGCAAGAAAAGGCAGGCAAGTAGCCGATTTTCCCTCAGACCTCTTCATATCTGGGCCATCACGGGAAGATGATGTCCACCCTGTGGGAGGGTCTTCCCTTCTCAGTTAATCCTTCCTAGAAACACCCTGACGGACCCACACAAAAGTTGGTCTCTTAACTTCAGATCCAATCAAGTTGACAACCAATATGTGTACCTTGGGAGCATATTATTTTCTTTTCTCATCACTGTGAACAAATGCTCAAATACTGTGGTGGCATGGCACAGCACTGGGGCTCAGTCCATGGTGGTGGGAGCTTGCAGTGACTTCACACTGTAGCTGACCAGGCACCAGAAAATATGATCTGCAAGGCTGACCCCCAGTCACCTACTTCTGCTAGGTTCCAAGCCCCAAGGGGTTCCACAGCCTTCCAAAACAGCACCATTGTTTGGGGGTGGGGTGTTCCAACACATGAGCCTACAGGGGATACCTCAGCCAGAACAGAAGTAACATTAGCATTTGGAGAATCAGAAGTGCACTACTTTTCTCATTGCTGTGACAAAACATCTGACAAAAGCAACTTAAGGAAGGAGGGGTTTGTTCTGGCTCACAGTCTGATGTTACAGTCCACCATGGTGGGGAAGTCCTGGAAACAGGAGCAGGCAGCTGGTCACATTGCATCCACTCAGGAAGCAGAGATGAATGCTGGTGCTCAGTTCACTTTCTCTCTTTTATTCAGTCCAGGTTCCCCGCAACTCATGGGATGAATGGAACTACCCATTAAACCTTTAATTAAGAATTAACTCTTGGGGCTGGAGAGATGGCTCAGCGGTTAAGAACACTGACTGCTCTTGCAGAGGACCCGGGTTCAATTCCCAGCACCCACATGGTGGCTACAAACCATCCTTAACTCCAGTTCCAGGGGAAATTAAAGCCCTCTTCTGACCTCTGCTGTATTGCACAACATGGGTGCACTCATACACGCAGGCAATACACTCATACACATAAAATAAAAATAATAAAATATTTTTTTAAAAATTAAACCTTTCTGGAAGTGCCACAATAGATATGCCCAGAGGTTTGTTTCCTAAGTGACCCTAAATCCTATCAAGTCAACAAGCCTAGCCATCACAGAAGGGTATGCTCCAATCCCTTGTACAATTTCTGCAACATGTTCTAAGGCTGTATAAATTACTACAGCTTCAATTTTCCCAGTGCTGAGGAGTGACCCAGAGCCTCACACAAGCTAAGCAGCTGCAAAATTTTACATGGTAGGTTAAGCCTAGGTTCGAAATTCATGTTATGTGGCAGAGATAGGTATCTCTGTAGATTGCAAAGCCATGGTCAGTCAGGAGCCAGGATAGAGCTGACAAGGCCCCCTTTAGTGTGTTTCCCTGTGTTCCTCTGTGCTTCCTATGGCAACCATCTTTGGAAATTCTAAGTAATGGAAACTAGCCACCTGGAGTGCCATTTAGCAGGCTGGGTGCTAGAGCAGGTAGCACTGAGGTTACTTCCGGGTCACTTCATGGTGGAGGGTCACTGGTGTTCTCACCACCCAGCACATATGGCTGTTTTTGCTTCATCTACCTTCCTAAAACAATAACTGGAACTTAGCTAGTAGTTTTCTCCTAACCCCTCCCTGTTTGATCACATTCCTTCCTACCCTATATTGAAACTACACTGTAGATCCTCGTAGCCAATTTTAAAAGATTACATACACATTCAAAAATTAATATAATTTCATGTTTATAAACAAAACTGACACTACACACAGACTCTATGTAATACTGTTGGGCAGGTGCAATCATTATCACGTGTTTAACTCATTGCTTTCCCCAACATTATCTTTGGGGCTCTAACCATATTGAAATGAGTGACATCTATTTATTAGCTTATTGGCACTTGGAATTCAAACGAGGCCTTGCACATTGCTAAACAAGCAGTCTACGATTAAGTTGGCCAGGCAGGCCTTGACACCTGCACTCCTCTTCCCCAGCAGCTGGGATGACAGGCCTGCGGAGGCTCCTTCACGTTTATTAAACTGCATAGCACCAAATGCTGCAGACAGCAGGTCCACACGCTAGGGTCATCAAGAGATACATTTTCCCCTCTCCCAGGGCCGTATCTGACTGCTGGGCGTTTCCCAGCGGGTCCTGGGGGAGTGGGACTAGCAACCCAAAGTGCGTCACTTGCATTCCCAGTAGACGGCCGGTAGTGTTCCTAAGTCTGGGCGCCTCCCTCCCTGGTCACTTAGTGGGGAGCCCCAATGGAGTATCTTCTGAGAAGCTGGTGATCTACACCGGCTGGGCAGAACTCGCAGTCCATCGCATCCCGCCCCATCCGCGGAGCCGGGACTGCATCTAGGGCCCGCTTAGTCACCGGTCCGTCCCACGAGACCCCACCCGGGTTAGCACCCACCCGTGACGGGTCAGGCGGCGTCCATCCCCGCGCGCATGGCCGCTTGGCAAGCTAACGCAGGCCGGACCGCGGGCACGAGCGCCCTCATGCATTCACTCCATTCATTCTGCAGGCGCGGGCCACGTGACCGCCGCGCCCACCAGGGATATCGTGCCTGTCTGTGGACTGCACGCGGAATCCGCAGCCAGGCAGCAACTGGAGAGGAGCGGCAAGAGACTGGGAACCAAACCCGCCTTTCCCGCCCACTAGGCCCCAGCAAGGCCGCCGCCCGCGTGACACGCGAAAGCAGGGCGCGCCGCCCGCAGTAGGCGCATGCGCGCGGGAGCCCGCGCTCGGAGCCGGCAACCAAGGCCGCGCTGCTCAGCGTGCGTGCGTGCGCGTTCCCGCTCCCCCCCCCAACTTGACCGGCCCAACGATCCTCCGCCTTGTGCACGCAGACTGGCGGAGACGGCCTTCACGAGTCTGGCCGGCCATGCGTACGTGCGTGCGCGCGCGCGGGCCGCGAGGTTGGGCGCGTCGCCGTTGCTCCGCCCCCCGAGACCCCGCCCCCCGCGCGCCGGCGTCGGCTGCGTCTCCGGCATTTGAATCGCGCTTCCGCCATCTTTCCAGCCTCAGTCGGACCGGCGCAGAGACGCTTCTGGAAGGTAGCGGCGGGGCTGGGCGGGTCGGGCCGGGTGCGAGCGGTACTCGGGGGGTCCCCGGGCGGGCGCAGGCTTGCGGCCATGAGGAGGGAGCGGGCCGGGGCAGCCGCCTTCCGACGCCCTCCCTTCCCCCACGTCCTCATCACGCTCTGGCCGCCGCGCCCGGCCGCCGCGTCCCCGCCTTCCCGCGCGCGCTTCCCGGCCACGGCCTTTGTGGGGCGCACGTGCCGCAGCCGCTCTCTCCCGCAGGATCGCCGCGATGGCCGCGCAGGGAGAGCCGCAGGTCCAGTTCAAGGTGCGCAGGGCGGGCGGGCGGAGGGAGGCCGGCGGGGCGGGCGGAGGCGGGAGCGGCCCTCACACGCGTGTCCCCGCAGCTCGTCCTGGTGGGCGACGGCGGCACCGGGAAGACGACGTTCGTGAAGCGCCACTTAACGGGGGAGTTCGAGAAGAAGTATGTAGGTAGGTGCGGCGGCCGCGCGTCGGGGGTAGGGCGCCAACTCCGGTCGCTAACGCGCCCGCCCTGTCCCCGCAGCCACCCTGGGCGTTGAGGTGCACCCACTCGTGTTCCACACCAACCGGGGGCCCATCAAGTTCAACGTGTGGGACACCGCCGGCCAGGAGAAGTTCGGGGGCCTGCGCGATGGCTACTACATCCAAGGTAGGCGCTGCGGAAGTCGGCCTGGCCCCGAGACACGTGCCCTGGGATGCGGACATAGCCAGGTTATTTTTTTTTTTTAAAAAAAAAAAGGACACAAACGAGAGGTTGGACTCCTCCAGGGAGGTGATCTCGGTTGTTCAGAGAAGACATGATTATGTTCAAGTTCGCGTCATTGGATCACATGCTGTGTCATGCTAGGCATGGTTTTGGGCAAACTGGCTTTTTACAACTTAGTACGCAGCAGAGGAGCTGTTGGAGCCCTTCTCCTATTTAAAGACTTGTGTTCACATATATGTTCCCGTGTTTATCCATGAATATTCCCATGACTTAAAAAGATGCTGAGCGCTTGACCAGACCTTAATACCCAGGAGTTATGTTCTCTTAGCTCACCGGTGTGTAAAACCAGCTCAGTAGTAATTGAACTTTATTAAAAGTGATTCAGAAATTGTGAGGGAAAGTAATGCCAATTGTTACTATCAGGCAAAAAGATGAATAAAGAAAGTATTATTGGAGCCATAACTGCCCTGGTGGAAAAAGTTACTAGAAATTCTTAGATGGTGTTTGTTGGCTTTCAGCGTGTACATAAAGACATAAGACAGTCTACTCCCTAAAGCTTCTTAACCAAAAAACTGGATTGTGTTGTACATGTTGCAGCCTTATTAACTATATCTTGACCATCTCTTGGGCACAATATTCCCTGGTCTTTGCAGCCAATTAAGAATATATTCCCAGGGGGCAGAATGTGTTTCTGGATTCTAACTGTAAAAGATTTGGGTCCTCCACAATGCTGACCTACTTTTGACATATGTGAAGGATGGGGGCAGTAGTAATGGAAGCTATCTTGAAAAGAAGATAATTTGATATAAGTTGGTCTGAACTCATCTTTGAAACTTTACTAAGAAGAATTAAGAATCAATGCCATGTATTTCAATTTAACATTTTTAGTGTTGGGAAAGATCTTTAGTTTGGGTTGATAACAGATGACCCAGAATAAGGACTAAGATAATAATTAAATCCTCATTTGTCCTTTTTTTTAGCCCAGTGTGCCATTATAATGTTTGACGTAACATCAAGAGTTACTTATAAGAATGTGCCTAACTGGCATAGAGATCTGGTACGTGTCTGTGAAAACATCCCCATTGTGTTGTGTGGCAACAAAGTGGATATTAAGGACAGGAAAGTGAAGGCAAAATCTATTGTCTTCCACCGAAAGAAGAATCTTCAGGTATGTTGATTTAATTGTGGTTCTCAGAGATTTGAAGTAAGATACAATGTGTTTTATATGTGGATTTAAAGCCTTCAAACTTGGGGTGTGTTCAGAATGGTAATTACACTAACAGAATTTTAAAAATATATTTTCCTTACAGTACTATGACATTTCTGCCAAAAGTAACTACAACTTTGAAAAGCCTTTCCTCTGGCTTGCCAGAAAGCTCATTGGAGACCCTAACTTGGAGTTTGTTGCCATGCCTGCTCTTGCCCCACCAGAGGTGGTCATGGACCCAGCTTTGGCAGCACAGTATGAGCATGATTTAGAGGTACTTGTCCTTCTTAGAGTTGGCCTGGTCATGGTGGTTTTGATCTGGAGTGCTGATTTCCATTTCTTGCCTCAGGTTGCTCAGACGACTGCCCTCCCGGATGAGGATGACGACCTGTGAGAAAGTGAAGCTGGAGCCCTGCGTCAGAAGTCTAGTTTTATAGGCAACTGTCCTGTGATGTCAGCGGTGCAGCGTGTGTGCCACCTTATCTAGCTAAGCAGAACGTGTGCTTCATCTTTGGGATGCTGAAGGAGATGAATGGGCTTTGGAGTGAATGTGGCAGTTAAAAAAACATACCTTCATTTTTTTGGACTTGCATACTTAGCTGTTTGGAACACAGTTGTTTCCTTCCTGAATTTCAAAGATAAGACTGCTACAGTCACATCACAATACTCAGTGGTGAAATCTTGTTTGTTACTGTCATTCCCATTCCTTTCGTTTAGAATCAGAATAAAGTTGTATTTCAAATATCTAAACAAGTGAATCATCCCTTGTTTATAAGCATTTTAAGAGCACTAAAATAAGGAAAGTCTGTGCCATAGTAGTTGAAATGCCTTGTCTCGCCGGGCGTGGTGGCGCATGCCTGTCATCCCAGCACTTGGGAGGCAGAGGCAGGTGGATCTCTGAGTTCAAGGCCAGCCTGGTCTACATAGTTCCAGGACAGCTGGGGCTACAGGGAGACCTTGCTTATTTTTTAAAAAAAAAAAAAAAAAAAAAAAAAAAAAAAAAAAAACCTTGTCTTAACCCGAGGTCTGTTAGGTAATGTTCTCCTTCTGCCTACCTCCACTACATGATCAAATGTCCTATTTGGTTGAGAGGTGTAAATATTCAGCTAAGCTAGCAACAGCCCTACTCCCATCTATTTTGCTAGATAATTTGATTTGGAGAAGAGCTTATTTAAGACTTAAAGATCATGCACACATCAGGCATTGAAGGTTTGTGGGTTTTTATTTTTAGCATAGATCTTTAAGTTGGGTGAAACTTAAGAGCTGATTACTGCTTGAGGGAATTTTCTGAAATGTGAATACTACATTTTTTCAATGTTCGGTGTGTGATGTTGGTTCTCTAGGAAGACGGTCCCTGCTTATAGGCACTTTGTAGTGCTCCCATTCTTTAGGGGTGTTTTGATGGTCAGTGCTATAGCATCTGATGATTCTTTTCCAGAGAATATTTGTAGGCAGTCCAAAAAAGGAAATGGACAGGGTAGAAATACTGCTACAGAGAATAGGGTGGGCTTCACTGATGTGGAACTATCAGATGGGGCCTTTACTTTATTAGGGGTCTCATGTATTAAAATGTGTGTCTTGTTCAAAGAGTATGATCCTGACAGAACTCTTTAGGAGTTGTAACCGTAAGCCATTCTGTGAGTACCAGGCTAGTCTGTCTTACCAAAGTTTTTAGAGGATGGATACATACCTTCAAATGGTTTTCTCCAAAGGCCTAGAAAGGATCACTTCACAACAAAATGGAATGGGTAAAAGTAAGATGTGCTGTGTGCATGGGCATCAGTAGATAGACATCATTCAATTTGCTGTATATGCTATGCTGCATTCAAATGAAGTTTTTCCCACTGGGATGAATGGAAACCCTTAGATCTCTTGAATTAATACGAGGTATGTCTTTGTAACCTGGTGTAGAATGCAAGTACCTTACGTTCTAATTCCTTGTAACAGTTAAACATGGAAGCTACTTAACATGTTTAACATGGAGTGACAGTAATTTATTGGAAGAACTCATTGTTGAAAATATATTGCTTCTACTTTGCCTGAATTTTCTGAGTCATCTCTAGTATTTGCTATAGGAGTAGTGAATAAATCCTAGTTTGGAGAACTTGGTCAGCTGAATAGCGGAAATCATCTTGTGTTTGTGGAGGTACAGGTGGGAAAAAGTTCTCCCATTTGAAAAAAAAATCTGGTATGGGGAGTCTTGAATTGATGGCTTCATATTGCATACCTAGTAATAGCTTATCAAAAGCAAGTCACTGAGGAAAAGCGTATTTCTACAGATAAGTTGATAAGACTGGGAAGGGTATTTAAGAAGCAATTTCATTTTGTACCAGGGCCAATTTTAAAGTATTGTAGACTTTGTGGGTGGTTTTCATTTTGTTTCTGTTTTTTTTTGGTCTTTTTAATACAGGGTCTCCCCTTAGCCCCAGCTGGCCTGGAACTAGCTGTGTAGACCAGGCTGGTCTGGAACTCACAGAGATGGCCTGGCCTGCCTTTGCTTTGCAAAGAGTGCTGGGAGGTTTTCTTTAACCATGTATAAAGAGGGACTGAGATTCCAAACACATTAAACTTGGATAGAAGAGCAGTGCCTTGGCTGATGGTGCACCTGAAGTTACTGAGCTGCTGCTTGCATCCGTAGATACAGGCCAGGGACACCAATGGTAGGAGCTGAGGGTGGAAGCTGGGTTTGAGTTGGGGTGTGGATGTATAGCAGAATGGCCTGTTGCCTGGATGATAACCATCAGCCACATAGAATGCAGTTCATTCTGCTCAAGTTGAAATTGTGTTGTGTCAAACAGTCACTGCTAGGAGAAATGCTATTATTCTGGAATTTTCCTAGCACAAGCTTTTATTCTAAAAGCTTGAGGTGGAGCTGGGTAATAAAATGCTGTACCTATGTAGATTTTTCCTTTAACATGAAGCCAAGTAGTAGATAGGAAATAGGGTTGCATCTGTTCCCAGCTCAGCATCAGTGAGCTTGAGCTTTTGAGGTGGCTGCAGCTGCTGTTCATACTCCCCTCTTGACCCTACCAGCTCATCACACTGGCCTGTTAATGTGATGTTTGTGCTAATGGGTCAGATGTCACTGGAGTGTCCCTTTAGTTCTAATCTACATAGTAAATTTGCAGTTGTGGTTTTAGCTCTTTGCCCAAGTTCCAGTGTTTATTAATGCTCTGTAGGAACCTGGGAGAAGAGAGGACTTTGGGGTTAGAGGAGCAGCAAATTTCATTACACCATTGGTAGCATTTGCCCAAGGTTTGTAGTTCAGTCCTGTCCATTTGTCCCAGCTTTAGGCAGCAGGGAGACAAGTGTAGTCCATATGCTGGCCAGGTGGGATCTTTAGGACTTCAGCCATAGGAACTGGACCAGGAACTTGGGTTTGATCAGATTGACTCTGCCCTTAAGAAGCCTGGCAGTTGTCCTGTAGTGTGGAAGATTTGTTCTTTCAGTACCAAGCAGTGTTCAGTATCTTGAGGAGTGGTAGCCTTGCTCAGGAAGCCTATGAGGCAACCTGGGGCATGTTTGGCTGGGATGGTAGAGTGCTTTGGAGACATCCTGGAAATGAATCCCCTGGAGAGAGGGTCAGTGGTCTGGGAACAGAAATGCATGGAAAACCCTTAGGGGGAGATAGAAGCTCACACTGCTGACATTGGAAGCAGTTTAAAAGGTTTGGTATCTAGAATTCTGGACAGCCACCGAAGACTCTAGCCTTGGACAGCCCCATCTATAAGAGTCCATTTGTGGGAATATGGGGACACTGCAAAAGGAGGGTTGAACCATGGGTATAGAAAGCTTGTCCAGTAGACATCTTTGGGAGATTCAGAACACAAAGAACCCCAAGCATACCAGCTACATGTCAACCCAGGAGTTTGTTTCTGTCCTTACATGGGTCAATAAGGGGCAGGGCTTCCCTAGGAGCAGCAGCAGGATCCCTGGTGCATTTGGCTCATGGCACAGTGACAGCCTGTTCCATGCAAGAGGTCATGACCTGGTCCTACTGGTGATCCTCCAGCCACAGAAAAATAGGCCTCTAGACTACTAGAAGGGTGCTTGTAGCAGAGACTTTTTAACAGTTGGAACCATCCCAAATGGATAAGCTGGTGGCCAGTTTGTGTGTAATATTTACTTTGTTCCATCCCTGACATGTCTGAACCATTTCCCCTCCATGCTTTCCTACCAATTAGGAATAACTTGCTGATGCTTTGTTATATGACCTTGCAGATTGTTTTCTTAAAGCACTGGCCGACAAGACAGCTCAACAGGTAAAGGTACTTGCCACCAACCCTGATGACCTGAGCTTGATACCCCAGTACCCATATGGTATGGTAGAGAGAGAAAACAATTCCTGAAAGTTGTCCTCTGACTTTTACAACCACGCTGTGGCACATGTACCCAAACATGCACAAAATAGATTAATAAATTTTTTTTAAAACCTGCTTTGAAAAGAGATGAAATTGTACTACAATTCTGCTTTATAACGATTTTTCACTTTTACATAGCTTCTAATAGTATTCCACAGTATGAATGGACCATGCGTTTCACCAGTTCTGTAGATATGGTTGATGTGCCTCTTTCTGCTTCTCTGTGGGTAGCTTTCATGTAGCTTGCCATTTTGTTTAATGTGCTTCTGATGAACCCAGGGCTTACTCATGCTAAGCTTATGGTCACCACTGAACTCTACCCTAGTCCTGTTCTAACCAATGGGAAGGGACTTTAAGGTATTGATGGTTTCCATGTACTTCTGTGGGACTCTGAAACTCACTATTTTTAACTTATGAAAGTATTCTTTAGTTTATGAAAAAAATGAAAAAATAGGGGTTGGCAAGATGACTCAGCAGTTAACACTGGTTGTTCTTGCAGAAGACCCGAGTTTGAATCCTAGCACCCACATGGCAGCTGACAACTGTCCATAACTCCAGTTCCAGGGGATCCGACAGCCTCTTCTGACCTCCACGGGCATTGCACAACATGGGTGCACTTACCTACATGCATACACATAAAATAAAAAAAAATTAAAAAAAAAGAAATTCTTTTAAGACAGAGTTTCATGTAACCCAGTTTAGCCTTGAACTCCTAATCCTGCCTCCATTTCTCAAGTGCTGGTATTATAGTTGTGTATCATTAAACCCAGCAAAGTAAATATGTATACTGTATATATCTCCCCCTCCACCCCAGTAGTGAGTATTGAATGCATGGGAGGCACAAGTGCTCTACCACTGAGATGGATAATCCACCAAAATTAGTGTATTTTTAAAATATTTTTATTTTATGTGTATTGAGTGTATGGCCTACATATATGTAAGTGCACCCATGTCGTGCAACGCCTGAGAAGGTCAGAAGTGGGCATTAACTGCTTTGTGAGTGCTAGGATTTAAAACCAAGTCTTCTGCAAGAGCAGCCAGTGCTTTTAACTGCTGAGCCATCTTTCCAGTCCCCACAATTAATTTTTTTTTTAATTGCTGTTTTTGTTTTTTGGGTTTTGAGAGAGTCTTATGCTGGTAGTCCAAGCTGGCTTCAAACTCAAGCTTCCTGACTTCCTGGGAGTCCTGGGGATGTGTGCTCCACCATTCCCAGCTAAAAATTGTGTGTGTGTGTATGTGTGTGAGCTCTGTCATTATCAGCTCTAGACATGGTGCTGAATTAAATGTGGTGCTCTCCCTTGGTCTTGTAACATAAGTTCCTGCTTATGTGCTCATATACAAGGTGTGTTCTTTACCCCTCTTTTACCACTCTTGGAACTCAGAAAATAC